GAAGAATAAATTAAAGGCATTCTACTAATGCATTCCATTGGTGCTTAGAGGGCACGAGGGGTTTTCGCATTCGAACAGAGTCACGAAGAAATCAAAAAGGTGTACCATGGACTCCCGATTTAAAGATCAACAATGTGTCCTGTTTAAATAGATGGGCCCTGCAACACTTTTTGAGCATGGTCAGCATGGCCTTTGACGACATTCGAGCCAAACGATAGCGCCCAGCATGCTCCCTGCACTTTACAGCTGACTGAAACCAACTGGAAATCACTCGCTATTCTCTCGATAAATGATGTCATATACCCAAATCCCGATGCAGTGAAAATCATGCTCACTATCCTCATTTCAGGATGTTGAGCAGCATAGCCATCACGGCCGCTGTGGGAGGCTTATTAACTAAACCACGTGTTTGAAAAACAAATAAAAGAAATTGCTCAAAGTAATGACGCACCTTATAGCCTTCTCGTCACACAACTCCCTGCTATACAATCTTAGCCATAATATGAGTTTGGCTTGCTGGCTCACTTCTGCAGAGTCAGCCAATCTTTCACAAAGTACATATCATTGGTACAGGAGAAAGTGCCACGTTGTCAGACTTTGGTCAAGACAACCTGTTCGGGGTGAGCTGTGGCAGCTGTGTCCAGCAGGCCTTTCAGCTGACAGCTCAGAATATGTTAGCCATGAAGTTTTATGAAGTGCTTTGGACCTGCCGAGGACCCCCACCAAAGCTGTCGCAGGAAGATGTCAGAAAGTAGGTTAATTTAAACTGGACAATGAACTAACGAGAACAATGACAATGAACAAAGTCCCAGCTTTGCCACAAAGGTGAAGCAATGAACGCGATGGCAACAAATTGGAAGGTCACACGCAGAATGGCAAGCAGATCGAAACGTGCTCTGCATTTCTCATGCACAAATGATGCACGAAACATGCTCACAGGTGCAGATGAATGCAAATAAGCGTCTCAATTGTTACTTCGCTGTACCTAAAAAGCACACCCTTTTCGCAAAGGGAGGCTGTGCAACGATTGCAGTGACCTTTGTGCGCCCGGTAACTACAACAGAACAGTTCCGTCCAAAGCCCAAGGTCAGGCAAGACATATAATCTTCCACACGGCAAGATAAGGCTGCATGAGCGTCCACCCCCTCTTTTCCGCGGGGCAAAGTACGCGTGGGAGATGGGAGCGCGAGCCGCGCGTCGTGACAATGTGGCGACGCACCCTGATTGGGCCACCTTGCTGGTAATGCTGAAAACACGATAGTTCCCCCTGCAATAACCGTCACCAGGGTAAGAGGTAAATATAAATAGCTTGCCGTTTGAACGTTCAAGGACATACTCCTCGGTGGCTCAGTAGTTAATGCCTCGCATTCCCCCGCCGAGGCTTTTTCTGGCCTTTTTTTGCGTTTTCATGAATATACATACGTATACATATACGGTGAGTGACGGCGACGCCGACGTTGGCGGCAAAATACAGTAAAGAATGTCCATGTAATTGCTATCGCAATAAAACGAGGACAATGAACAAAATCACAATAAAAATGACGTTGCAGGTAACATTTCGTCGTCAACGTAGGTGGCTCATAACAAGTGGATGAAGAATGTGCTGCACGTAACAATTCCGAGACCTACAATGCTGCTAGTGATGGTGCATCAAGAGTGGCTCCATTATAATATTAAAAGAATTTCTGCGATGTTACTCGGCAAAACCATGACATGGTTATGAAACACGCCGTCGTAATGGGTTCCGCATACTTCAACGCGCTAAGGTTGCTTACTGTGCACCTAAAATTAGGCATACGGTTCCCTACCGATGAAAAATTGGTCCACTGCCTTCATCATGAACAGAACAATTAAAATAGCACTTCAAGTTTTTCAACAAACACTCGTATTGAAAGTGAGTCGCAACTCTGCTCTGCCACCATACAGTGACATAAACAATCATACCAACCATTGCAACGTTGAAGCTTACTATAGCAAGTGACTGGAAAGGTGAATGTGCCTAGAACACAGCACGGGCACTTGCATGAATTTCTACGCTGTGCATGTACCAGCTGTAGGATGCGTTTCGACTGCCTAATGTTGTCAAAATCACAATGAATTTATCCGTACAGTCTTGGCACTGAGGCACAAGGTACGGGCGGATGAAACATTTGCATCCCGAGTTGTACCTAGACGAAAATATACACTCAGAGCACAGAAGTCCCCAAACTGCTCAGGCGTCCCAAGATTACTCGTGCATGAGCAGGCCGAGCACTGTGGACAACATTGGGCAGCCGGTTCATCCTACGTTTGAAGTATAGTGAACTATAGTTTGAAGGTCTCGTGTGTTTTCTTGCTTCTTTGGTAAGCTTATTTAGGCTGTAGAAGTAATAGATGATGTTAGTTGTGACGTCATGTGAACGATCACAACATATACCGCTTTAAAACCAAATGTGTCGCCATACCCAGTTTGAAGGTTGCATACGCATAATTTATTTCCGCCTAACTTCAAATTTCCTTTTCGGCAGCACATTTGAAGAGTGGTCACGTGACCACACAATTTTTTTAAACCAAAAATACTTCACTAAAATCACTCTCACATAGTACACTTTCAGCTCAATTTTTTTTATCAGAATCGCTGGTGGTCGAATTTTGGTCTGGGACGTTTCACTTGGAATGACCCCTACAACAGCAGCATAGAAAGAAAAATTACACAGCCTCTCACTAAAGAAAACCATGAATTCATGAGTATGTGAAGTAGTGCATGGATCGACCTAAAGTTCCGTTCATCGCTAAAGCCTCTAAAGCTTCAAGGTTTTATGGACTTTATTTATAGCGGGCACCCTGCCTGATGTCAACGCGTCCTTGCAAGTAGAGCACACCATGGATTCACTGATGTTTCTGCTTCTGCTAGTCCTCCCGAACTCTTGGAGCCCGCCACGCAGGTTCATCACCACGCCACGCGGGAGTACGGTGGTTCATTCCGCATCTGCAGTTCCCCCGACTTTTCCAACGCCATCACATCATTGATGGAAGAATGTAAGGGGAGAGGCCACAGCCTCTTACACAGCCACTTACGCAAGTTCGAATGCCCTACCGCGTGCCAGAACGTTCCGACTAGCATACAGCACATTCTCTCATCGCGCGTCAGCAGAATCTCGTTCCCCGACGCCAACAAATGATATCTGAGAATAATGGGGAACATGCCGCCACAGTGTCTTCACCAGCCCCGCTTAAAAAATGGATGGATGGATGAGTGGTTGAATGGATGCAATGAGCGCCCCCTTTAAGCGGGGCGGTGAAATGTGTGTTGGCAAACCTGACAAAACAAAAACAGAAAAAAAAAACAACTTTCAATGTACATTTTCCTTGTTCCTTACTCAATCTCGCTTTATAACTATGTATTCTAAAGCAACCCAACCTTGCCTCAAACATCCGTGCGCTTCCTCTTCAATTACCATAAAACGCCTTTCTCATTATTTCATTCTTGCCCTTTTAGTAGTCACTCTAGCTGGATTTCTTTTTTCATTACTGCCACCCACTACATCATTTCTGCCTCTCTGACCTAATGCTAAACATGCTCTAGGCCCATGCACTCAGATTTGGGTTCACGTTAAAGAACCCCAGATGGTCGGAATTTCCGGAGCCCTCCACTACGGCGTCACTCATAATCATATGGTGGTTTTGGTACGCTAAAGCCCAGTTATCAGATCTAATGCTAAACACTTTTGTTGCCATAATGCCTACACTGCCAGCCATACACTTACTGGCTAGTCTCCTATTTCTTTTCTCCACTGTGAGTCAATACTACTCTTCCTATAAAAACACCAAAACACCTTCTCAACCCACCCACTCTCGTTCATTTTACTTGGCCTCTCTTCAAACCTCATTCTGCTCACACCTTCTTCCACTTCAAAACTTGCCCATCTGACATTGCCCTTTACAGCCTCATTCATGGGAGCCCAGAGCAAGGTGTTCCAGAGTCCTTTGATTTAAATTTACATCTATTTGTTATTGAACCTCTGACCTCATGCACAACACTCAGTTCTCAAATGTTAGCCCCGGAACAAATACATCTTTCCACAGACCTCAAGGCACCTCGTATCTATTGTATCCCCCAAAACACTCCGAGCTTAATTATTGCAGCCTTCCTCTTTCCCTTTGCTCCCGAGGCTTTTTCCTCTAACACCATATATTTATTTAGCGACAACACAAACAAAATCTACTTTTTTTTTACATGTACGTTTGTTGTTAAAGCTTAAACATCTGCAAGAGACCAAAAAAGCTAATGTGTTGGTGCACTTTCCTCCTCACACAGGAAGGGCCATTGTCCCAACGAGTACTGCACTGCCCATGCAGGATATGACTTGCTCCTGCACCTGAGCCGTGCTCTCAGGGCTGCAGAAACAGTCGTCTCCTCACCCCAAGCTCACGCTTTCCATCTTGAGTGGTAGTCCACAAAGTTCAGCCAAACCAAATTGCAAATCTCAATGACTTTTAGGCACTCTAAGTCAGTTAGTGCTGAGCTGTTTTGTCGACTATTGAGAAACCGTACATACAATGCTACATTTTCGCTGTACTAAAAGCACAAAAACATAGATCTTGTGACAAATTGTTTTTGCATAAAATCAATTGAAAGAGCACAGTTCAGGTGGATGGCACTGTGATGTCAAATTGCGGAGAAAAAGTCCTGCCTTCCCTGAACTAGTGCATAAAGTGCAACCAAATCTGAGAACCCTGACATCGCAGGAGAATCATTTTCTCCACGCACCGATACCCACGAAATATAGAAAGTACACTCTCATTTCTATAACAGTAGATTGGAATGTGTAAAATCAGCGATAAAACTGCTTTTACGTAGTTTTCATTTTCGTTATTGCTCGTGACAACTTTTACAGCAGTGGTTTCAATTCTAATGATTTATAAGGGGTCGACTGCAGTGAAAATGGAGCATGTTACGAACTAGCCAGTCGGGGATTCAGCACATATCGGCTTGCAAAGCGCCCCAAAGACACTTTATGTACCCTATTATCATTAATGTTTTATTAATGCAACAACGCAATGGACTGATGTGTACAAACAAGTCAATGTTGTCAAACCGACAAGATTGCAACAAGTTTTAATCCAATGTGCAGAACGTACAAAAATTCCGGACATTGATATTTGTGCACTTTTTCCTTTTTGGAGAAAACACAGTTTAGAGCTGTAGTCATTCAGAATGTAATTACAATCATCTATTTTGGCTCTAACTGCAGCTTGCTAAGTCACCTGCTAATGCTAATTCTCATTTTGCAGCCTGAAGTCAGTGCCCAGCGATTGAGGAGCTGAAACTTTATTTCCTGCTCCCCCATGACCGTTATCTGCTGTTACACTGTTACAACACTTCACAAGAAAATAAATTGACTCATTTGTGTAGGATGCTTTCAGGAACAGCAACAGTGACTTTTATTTACAGTCATCTAAAGCAGAATACTGTCATTTAAAGCAAAAAATGTCAAACATGTCATGTATGTGCTCCTATGATCCACAGAACCAATCACAATGCAAGGCAAACAATACAAGGTGATATTACATATTACACAGAATGGTAACCATTTCCCTTAGGGTTACCACTCTATTGACGCATTATGGCGAGCTGGTGACGAGGGCAGGACTCCAGAAACTGAAACTTCCGACTTGAGTGCTTGCAGTTCAGCAAACTGAAAGATAAGACAGATCTCCATATTCTCAGCTTGTCCGTTCTGAGTCTAATCTGCAAGTGCAGATGCAACAAATGACATATCTACAAGGCAATCTAGCATTTTAAAAATTTTCATGATAAAGCTATACAGAATTATCATTGCACAGTGCTCATAATAGCTTTTACAGCTATTTCTTTTTACGTTATTACAATGCTATGCAGAAAGTGCTTCGAGTACACGACTTTTTGATGCAATCACTGCACGAATAGCAAAATTTTAGGTGCGAAGCAAATTCGAACATTGAAGTGTCAGTGCAAATCGAATAGAATATTTTTTTTATATTTCTCGAATATTTTTCGAATACTTTGAAGTGAAATTGGAGAACAACAAGTTGGAGAGGATTCCGAAGCATATTCTCATGAGATAGCAACATGAAAGTGATTCTTTCGGCTATGTTGATGAAGCGCTCACGGGGTGGTGATTCATAGATTTCCTATTCAAGAGTGTGGCAGTGCAATGACCGTATTGTAGTTATGCGCATGATTTGGTACAACCAAAGTGTTGCCGACAACACTTTACATTTGAATGGCAGAGACGCTATTTCCTCAAATTCTCCTCCTTTTTCAATTTTTGAGGATGCCCAAATTGTGTGATGGACAAGGGTGTGCTCCCTTTGAGTCCGGAGTTCCAAATCTGCCGCGTAGGCGTTCATTTATGAGAACATTTGGAATCTTGGAAGCTAAAAAGTTTTCCTGTCCGATTTTTCAGACTTCCTGCCCCGATGTTAGGTCCAAAACAGCCTTAATTGAGCCCCCACTTTTGCTACATTTATCATTTCCATGTTGGAACCAGCATTTTTTTAATACAATAGAGGAGTAGCAGGCTCGAAACCCGCTTTCCAGGCCGACCTCTCCTCCTCCTTCTCATTAAACACCTTCTTCCTCTTCTTAATACACTTGCGAGGGGCTCCTGTAAATCTGATGACTGTATTTGTCTGCGGCAGGTTCAAATAGTTTCGAATAGTAAAATTCCAGTGCAAATCAAAGCGAACAGCAAGCACTACTCGGAAAATATTTGAGATTTGGAGTATTCACATTTATATCTCCGACCAAAAATTTACAATATTCATTTTAGCTTACCTTTGCCTTATCTTTAGAGCTTTTACCGACTCCCAACCTGCAAAAAATCAGCTCAGAATAAATAATCACATAGAATGCATGTGCATACATCAACACCGGAGAAACAGAGCAAGTACACTAGCAGTGAGTGATTCAAGGAAAGCTCTGCCTTGATGAAGACAAGTTCTCCTGTTGGCTCCATGCACACACTTTTCTGATTTGTCTCCTGTTGACAAATTGAAGACTCCATGCTCTAGTAAGCTGTATGTATTTTTTCATAGAGATATAGTAATGATTAGAACTGACAGATAAAAAAGCCAAGGAAAGTACAGAGGATAATACTTGTAGTAATCTTAAGTAAACGTGATGAAAGTACAGTGGACGAAAATATAACATGCCACTGGCAGGGGCCGAACCTGCAATCTTCGAATAACATGTTCTCTGCTCTACCACTGGGGTATACACATGCGTTTAAACGTAGGTGTGTTATTCAGCACCGCTAGCAGCCATGATGGCAAGTGCAGAAAAGTCATCCACACTCACCATCATGGCTACTAGCGGCTCTGACCAACACTTAAAGAGACCGACAACTGGTCCGAACATGCGATTAAATCGTAGTAGCAGTCGAACCTCGATAATTCAAACTCGAAGGGGCCCGAAAATTTGTTTGAATTAAAAGAAATTCGAATTGATGAAAGCTAAATAAACGGGGGGCTCTCCGTGCAGTGGCGCATGTTCATTGAGCTAACACACGAGGGGGACGTTCCAGAAGACTTACATTTATTCACAAATCACATGACATTCGTTATTAATTGAAATAATCCGATGATGCACGTCTGCACACGTTTGCCTTGCAGCTAGTCAATCAATTTCGCACACAGCTTGCAAAGCATTTCTACCTCGACTTCAGCATTCTCCTGGCAATAGAAGTTGCGCGCGGAAATATGCCGTTGTCAGATAGCAAGGAGACGCGGCGCGAAGCGCTTTGTCCCAGAGTCTCACGTAACCCATCAACCCATCATCATCCGTACGTCTGTCCCAGTACTTCCTCCCCCCCCCCCCCCCCCTGACGCCGACACTTTCTAAGACGACAACAATGACTGCGTACCAAAGAGCCGCAGCATGGCCAGCACGTGACGAGAAAGAAGGAATGTCTCCACGGCAGCTTTTTTTTTTCTTGCTCTCTTCGCCCGCGTCGTTGAAAGGAGAAGGGTTACGTGGCAGGGACGGGAAAGGGGGAAGCGTGACAACGACGCGTGAGAGATCCCCCCTGAAAGTGTGGCAGCTTGGGCTAGTTGGTACGGCATTATGATAGTTATAGCGCGAGAACAATACGACGACACAGAGACAAGAAGGACACGTATCCTTTGTGTCCTTCTTGTCTCTGTGTCGTCGTGTTGTTCTCACGCTATAACTATTGTCCCCCCCCTTCCTCAAGGCGCAGAGCCACGCTCCCGCAAGGGGCAAGAGCCGCAGAAGATGTGCCTTTTTCTGTTCGTTCTACCTCACATTCATTCAACCCAACGACAGCTCTCTTTCTTTTTTTTTCCTCTCTCTCGTCGCGTATGGCGTTGGAAGGAGAAGGGTCTACGTGGCAGGGACGGAAAAAGGAGAAGCGTGACAGGGGAGCGTCGCAGATCGGCATTTAAGAGAGAGCAAACATTCCACCGCAGCATTTTCTTTCCTTTTCATTTCCTTCACGTGCAGCGTTGAGGTGTCGCAGGTTCCGCCGCGGGATTAGGCAGGGTGCTGAGAGCATTTTCAGGGCGCGGTATGTTCGAATCAACCGTCGCAAGTGCTTGCCCGTTCGAATGATCAAGCATTTTCACCCATTCGAATACACATAGCTTTGACGAGACCTCATCGTGAGTCCGAATTAACCGAGAGTTCAAATTAAGGGTGTTCGAATTAAGGAGATTCGACTGTAGAAACGAAAAGAGCATGAAATATAGTGACATATTACAGCACTCTTTTCGAATTGCAACTGGGATTTATACTTTTAAATCATGCTTAAAATTGCCAAAAACTGTTTTGTTGAGCAGCCAAGCAGAAAAGCCTTGAAGCTGGATCATGGAATATGCTGTCGATCACTTTGCTGAACATGGTCGCATAGTCTGATCCTGTCATGCGTGCAGGCAGTCCACAAAATTAAGAGTTTGTATATTATTATCCCGCCCTGCTCCAATCTGTGCTGCTTACGACGTGAAAGAAGTACCACAATAAAAAACGCTGCGGCTACCAGTGGACCAAGCAGAGCCTTGCGGAGCGGACGCATGCATGTGGATGCATGCGGAGTGGACGCATGAGCAGTAAACCACCACACTCGAACTTGAACTGCCCGTGTGTTCACTGTTTGCAGCATGTGAGCATACGACTTATTATTCGCTGCAAATAGAAAAACTCTAATTACAAAAGTTTCGTGGCATTCTCCACTTTACCATTCCAAGATCAGATTCCCTGATGGGTAAGATTTCCTTCGCGCTAAAAATATAGGCTCCATAAAAATGGTTGTAGGTTTCTTTATATACATGTATATATCCCATAAAGTGGAAGGCGCTACAACCATGCAATAACAATATTGAACTAAGCTCACTCTTTGGGCCACCTTTGGGACGAACAATGGTAAAAAGTGAGAGTTTAATGAGTCACTAGCCACTGTGAATTGAGCCTTCTGACAGCGCGCGTTATTGTAGAATACATGCTGCCGTCTCATAAAAACCAGGCGGCTTGTTTCCCCCAATTCAGCAATTACATCTCTGACACACCCATCCTCTGACGTCGGCTGTGAAGCCATGTGGAAAAACGCACCTGGGCACACCCTGGTTGAGTCCCTTGAGAAGCACGCAGGCCTTGCAGAACTGCTGGCTGGAGATGTAGCCACAAAGACTGCATGTTCCTGCAAATGTGCATGCATGTGCAACATTACCTTCAAGTAGCGGTGATCAGTTAAAAAGAAAATGACCTTATCCTTCTCATAGGCAAACTTTTCTTTCATGACACAGGAGTCGGGCAGAGCACATCTTTCCACAATACATGGTTGTGAAAGCTTCATGACGAAAGTACAGATTGCTTTCCCAGTGTTACTTGATAATAGTAGTAGTACTAAGTACTCTTCTGACTGCCCTAGGGGGCAAATGAAAGAAAGGGAGACCATGATTTATGTTTATGTAACCAAAGACTACAAAACACTTGGAAAAATGCCCTTCTAAGGCTCAGAAAACAAGAAAATTACTTTAAAAGCTTAAAAAAGCGATTTTGAACTACTGCTATACTATTGCCTAAAGCAAGTAAGCACTACCGCCTGCTGCCTATGTGCTACATTTTCAATGTATTAAAGTACACTAAATAAAACACAGCAGGTTGAACCCATTTAAATTAAACGGTTCTACAACATAAATTCGATTTATTCAATTTTTCTTCCTTGTCTATGCCTAGAAATATATGTCGCCTTTGTTTGTTATATCAAAACATTCATGTTCTTTTGTCACTAACAGTTAAAAATAAGGCTGGCTGCCTGCTTACAAAAGCGCCAAACACGACAAACTGTGCAAAAAACCAAGGTTGCCTGGCCTTGGCTGGTCAAGTGCACAATGTGCCTTGAAGTCCCTTTCGTCACAGTGCACTAATGTCACGATAAAAAGCATCCCAAGAATAAGATGAGGCTACAAGCTGTCCCAGGACACATATTTCGTACCTTGTTTACACTCATATGCACGGGCTCTATATATTAGCTAGCTTTAGTATAATCACAGACGTCTAGAGAATGTCACGATAAAAAGCATCCCAAGAATAAGATGAGGCTACAAGCTGTCCCAGGACACATATTTCGTACCTTGTTTACACTCATATGCACGGGCTCTATATATTAGCTAGCTTTAGTATCACAGACGTCTAGAGACGTAACTGGCAATCATGAAGAGCTGTCTATAATGTTGCTGCGGAACTGAGAAACAATAAACATCAAAACAGTAGTAGGCATGTGGCCCAAGATATATACTGTGCGAGAACTTCTGATGATTAAAGCTTCAGATGGTTCAAACAAAACCTCGAGTTCCCCTAGAGTATGAATTGTAAAGTCTAATGTAGAAGCTTTCTTTTCTGAGTGATCCACACAGATTTCTAGTGGCTTTGTACTGCAAAAATGAGTGGTCGTCAATCAGCCTTCTCATAACCCTTCCACCACTTTGTGGGATTAGGCAGCACTCAATTGCGATACTCTTTTACCATAAATGAGTGCAGCTGTGTGTTTACGTTTGTTTCCATTACTCACGTTCTTCCTATTTCCACACTTCATCCCTAAACAATACTGCAAACACTGCATTAAATCAGTGATAACGCAAGCAAATCGGGCCTATTGGTATGTCGAAATGAGGTATGGTGAATAGCACTAGAGCTGTGAGAAAATTAAAACAGAAAGAGCAGCCACACTGCTAAGAAAAAATATTACTCCGCATTATAATTTACCCCAGCACATCACTGCTTTCTAAAGGCAGCACTCGAAGCAGAAAATGGTGTTAAGGCTCAAAAGTATTGCTTACCTTTCTGAGGAAGTCGAACTCCCTCCTTGACAGCCATGCACTCACCGGAGTGAATGATGTCTGCACAAGAAGGAACCCACTGTTAGCACTAAATCACATTTTACTGTTGTACAAAGTAGAAACATCACTATTGCATAAGAAGCTGCATGCGACACAAAATAGCTCACTAGGTTCATTTCTGCTTGGCTCTTACACACTGAAGCAATGTTTAGTCTTCTGTGGTTCCACGTGCAACAGAAAAGGAAATGAGCTAAGGAAATGAGCTTGCTTAATTCAATTTTCCCCAACGTGTCCACAGAACCATGCAATCATAAATTAGGCAACATCTGGTCATTACTAATTGCCACATAATTTACAAACTATTAGTAATAACACATTGTCTACTGTTCATTCCTTCCCCTCAACAGCTTTTACAGAAGGATGTGAGATTTAGAAAGAAAACAACTGAATGACATTGAAGCCATGTAAACTTGCACTAACATAAGCTCAGCTCGGATACGTCCCCTGTGTCCTAAATAGCTAGTAACACCATATAAAAGCTGATGCGCCCAACATTTTTAAAAAGAGCCGATTGTCTACAAATGATCGACTGACAGCAGTAAAAAAAAACACAGAAAAAGAGTGCACATTTAAAATTATTCAAGTAATTTATTCATGCATACTGCAGCCACTGAATGAATGCATGCACAATTTCGCTTTTCTATTAACCTGTGCTGGCCTCTGCAGTCTTGGTAGCATTGCCATAAGGGCTGCGACAACTAACACTGCCAAAACGTAAGGCTCCTAGATGAAGGGCCATTTCGCGACTTCTTCGCTAGAGGAAGGGTCACATGCTCCATGGCATCATGCAAGAGGCGGATTAAGTACAAATGTCACTCAAAAAGTAATCGCTAGTTTCTTCCTCAGGTTCTGCTGGGATTTTATGGTAGAAAATGGCTGTTCAAACAAAATATAAACATCAAAACTATAAACCTGAAACAAGTCAATTATGTTTCTAACCAATTCGGTAATAAAAAAAAACATTTATTGCATGTACAAAATCAAAGCTGTAAGCTCTCAAGGTGACGCCGAGATGAGCCAATGTCTGTTCAGCCAAGCTATCTCAGCCGCTCACATGCGTTGCGTGCATCGTGAACATTTTTCTTTATGGTTGCAAAACTGTGACTACAGGACGACATTGGCCCGAGAACTTCAAAGAGTTTTCATGGCACTTGTATTTTCAAAGCCCAGGATTGCCATTTTTAAAGCCCTGGCTTTGCCAAAGCCCCCCAAAACAAGGTGCAAAAAAGCATGAATGGAAACATGGATACAGCCCGCAGGACTAGGAAAAACGTCGTGTCACCACCAGTTGTGCTGTGTACGTTGTTTTTCTTTTACACCGTCCACCATCCAGGGAGAGATGGGTACTACCGATTATACAGTGTTCATAAACTTAATCGGCTACAGTGAGGTACACAAAGCAGGAAAGTGAATGCATCTATATACAGTCGAGCCCGACTATATCGAACCCGTTTATATCAAATTATCCCGTATATCAAACAATTCCTAAACACAGTAAGTTTACATTGAGAATATATAGCAAAAGTTACTGTTTTATCGAACAAAAATAGCAACGACAACTGATATATCAAACTACATGTGCCTCAAAAGTGCCCCAGCAAGTTGGCTTTCCCTTGCGGTGGCGGAGAAAACTGCCGGCGCCACCCTAGAAAAAGTTGGTTAGACCCGGTTGTGCGCGGGCGAGCACCCCCCTCCAAGAAGTGATCCTGGCCTGCTCGCAGCGCTTACAGCCAATCAGAGGCCGTCGTGCTTTCTCGGAGGTGGTAGAAGTGAGTGCCATTTTTTCTTTTTTATGCTTGTGTGCCTGCTGCTGCCGATTCAGCGTGGTCTGTGGTGTTGCCTGTTGGTGCTCTGTGAACTGTATTGGCGCACTGTCATCATGGCTTGCGCAAAGAGGCAAAATTTGCCGTTCGCCGCGAAACTCGAAATCATCAATCGTGTTGAGCGCGGTGAAAAAAAGTCTGACGTCGCCGCCGCGTACAAAATTCCAAGGAGCACCTTGAGTACTATACTGAACAACAAGGCAGACATCAGGGCCAAGTCGGACAAAAGGCCAGGTGCCCGTAGCGCCCGACGTGTGCTCGCTGCTGTGTACGAAGATGTTGAAGCGGCCGTTTACAAGTGGTTTGTGGACATTCGGTCGCGAAACATCCCGGTGTCCGGCCTTATGATCGAGCAGAAAGCCAAGGACCTAGCTTTTCTGCTTGGCAAGAATGAATTCCAAGGCGGTTCAGGCTGGCTTCAGCGGTTCAAAGAACAGCAACACATCATTGGAAAAGCTGTTACAGGTGAAAGCAGAGCAGCGGACCTGGACAGCGTAGAAAAATGGCTTGAGGAAAACTGGCGAGATATCGCAGCAAGATATAGAGCCCAAGATATCTTCAATGCGGATGAAACCGCTCTATTTTGGCGAATGTTGCCAAACATGACACTTGCATGTCGTGGCGACAAGACAAGCGGCGGCAAGGCAAACAAAGCTTGTGTGTCCGTGCTGTTGGCAGCTAATTTAGACGGATCGAAAAAGCTTCGACCTCTGGTTATCGGGAAAAGCACGGCATCGCGGTGTTTTCGAAATGCGCTGTCGCTTCCAGTTACCTACCGAGCAAACTCAAAAGCGTGGATGACTGGAGAGCTTTTCAGCAGATGGCTATCGTCGTGGAATGATTTGGTAGGCGAAAATCGCAAGGTGTGCCAGACAATTGTTCATCGCACCACTGCAGTACGACCTTAAGCAACATCGAGCTGCGTTTTTTGCCCCCAAACACTACACCTGTACTGAAACCACTGGATCAAGGCGTTATACGCGCAATGAAAGCCGGCTATCGGAAACGCCTGGCGGAGAGGCTGCTGCAGAACCTTCGTGTCGGCAGGGAGCTTAAGATCGACTTGCTCGGAGCTATTGCTATGTTGAGTACATCGTGGGCAGATGTCAAGAAGGAGACGATCCAGAACTGCTTAAGGCATGCCGGCTTCCGCATGCCTGGTGATGACACCCCAAATTCTGACAACACTGAAGACACTGCAGGTGTTTCCGCTGAAGTTTGGAACGAGCTGGAAGAGTTCCCGGGTGCTATCGACGGATCGACATTCGACGAGTTTGTCAGTGCGGACGATGATGTCCCCATCATGGGCCAATTACAGGATGAGGATTACATTGCAGACGTCGTGCCGACCACGAGCCAAAGCGACAGCAATAAGGAAATCGACGACGGCCCATTGCCTACATCCTCCGTAGTGATTAGTGCACTTGCGTTGGTCCGGCGCTATTGCTTGAATGTGGAAGGTTGCGGCCTCAGCTGCTCCGACTCGTTGGACAACGGGGAGGCGTGCGTGCTGTCGCAGGCAGCGAAGTCGCTGACACAGAAAAAAATCCGGGTCTATTTTGTTCCACAGTAGCGCACGCAAGCAAGCCATCATATTAATAAAGTACTTTTCTTCTAGTTTGTTATGTGCCTTTGTGTCAAAATCTATACCGGGCCTATATCGAATTATGCCATATATCGCACTAATAAACGTTTTTTGGCGAGCTCGGTATACTCGGGTTTGACTGTATGTTTAACGAAATAGAAAATGGCAAGAATTACAGAGCAGTGCTCACCTAGAATGGATGTTGGCCTAATAGCTTCGAGGTCCTTGAGGTACGCCCGAGCATGGCCTCTGCAGAAACAACAGCAGTTAGCAAATTAATAAAACGCTAGGCTCACACGCCACTGCATTATTTTACATGCACAGCAGCGAGTGCGGTTCCCTAGAATAACAATAATATTTAGAATTTAATGTCCCAAAGCCACGATATGATTATGGGAGACACCACAGTGTAGGGCTCTGGAAATTTTGACCACCTGGGGCTCTTTAACATGAACCGAAATCTAAGCACATCGCTCTAAAACATTTTCACCTCTATCGAAAATGCAGTCACCACAGCTGGGATTCGATCCCGCGTCCTTTGCGTTCTCTAGAAACAGAGAGCTCACCATCAATTTCTATGTCGAAACAAAGGATACCGAGATGGAACTAAGCAAGTGCTGACGCATGATATGTTCACATAAGGTGCAAATACCATACTATTCATTCTTTAATTTGGCAATGCATGCTAATTAATAATTTTGGCACCATGCAGGGCCAAAATTATTACTACTGTAATAGTATTGGAGGAGCCAGTTCAATAAACTTGAAATTCAAGTAAAATAAAAGGTACGCGCATGCAAACATTCAAAATTTCGAACATTTTTTAAATAATGTTTGCTACTGAGTTCGATTGGCACTAAGATTTTACTATTAGAACTTTCCAAAAACAAATCTAGTCCCCGTCCCACTGAAAGTGACCCCTTCAAGTTTTTTAAGTGCTGCACCTCAACACACTCTAGTACTGCGGCAAAGCTGCCTTTTTAGCTTTGCTCCGGTTGCAAACGTGCCGACTCGCGAAAACGCTTGTTCCAGCATGGAGATGATAGACGTGGCAAAGGTGGAGTTTAATTATTGCTGTTTTGGACCCAACATTTGGGCAGGAAGTATGAAAAAAAATTAGCACCCAACATTTCAGATGTTCTTATACACTGACGTCTATGAGGCAGATGAGGAAACTTGAAGGGAGCACATTCCAAACCAGTTGGGCTTACACAGAAGCTGAAAAAGGAGGGGAGGCTGAGGAAATGGCATATTTGCCTTACACTTTGTAAAGTGTTGTCGGAAATACTTTGGCTGCATCAAGTCACTGCGCATAACTACAATACAAACCCTGCACTGCCTCACTCTTGAGTGTTTCATAGTGAAACTTGAATACAACTATTAAAAACCACCTTTCCAGCGCTTCATCAATCTAGCATAAAGAAACACTTTCACGGTGTTATCTTATAAGAATATAATAAGGAATTCCCCTGCCAACATTTTTTTCAGCAATTCCAATTTGAAGTATTTTAGAAATATTTTAGAAATATTTAAAAAGTATTCGATGAGATTCGCACTCAGCACTTCAATAATCTAAGTCATTTCACAAAAAAAATTTGCCGTTTGTACAGCTCTAGTAAAAGGTCATTAATCATGACTTCCTTATTAGAAAAATTGGACTAATTCGGACATGTTCTTTGGTCCGGTCAAGAATACTGTGTTGTTCAATGGCCTTCAACTGTCCTGGATCTGGCCACAATCGGCTGAAAACAGTTAATTTGGACGGTCTTCTGAGTGCCCCGGGCATGAAGCGCCACAAACGTGTGACGCGAAACTTTGTTTCATTCACGAATAGCTGACCTCTGCAACACTTTCCTTGCCACTGAAAGCTCCAATAGTTACCGTTATGTTACAAAAATTAAGAAAAGAAAGACTCGTACCAGCCCACTCACCTGTAAGCATTTGGGGAATAGATGCACTCCGTAGAGAAGTAGTTTAACTTCTTGAAGTGGGCATACCTGCGATGGGGGAGGAGCTTTCATGGCAGTGGCAAAAAATGAGCTATGAGCATTGAACTATGTTAAACACTTCACTTGAGCAGAAAATTGGTGAGAACTGTTCACATCCAACAGCAGCCCCGTAGTTACTAAAGAAAGGAACTGTAAAAAGTGCAAGCACCTCATTTTGAGAGTAGAATGCGATAAAGGTTTTGGGCCTTATCGCATCGCCTTGTCATTCATTTGCCTTGCTTTACCTACTAGGCAGACATTTCAATCAAGCAGCGACGAAAGTAACATCTGTGAATGTGACATTTACCAGCGCGAGTTCTCGCACTCCATGATCCAAAAGTTGAAAGGAGCCTTCTTGGACTTCGAAGAATAACATCGATTCCCATCAAAAAGTAGTTGGAGCTAAGAGGTAATTTCATGGAAAATGACAGCCTGCAGTGGCATAATCGATGTAGAGCTTTGCTTATGCCATGTTACGACAGTGTGGTTTATCTGCGTTCACTACAGATTTATGCAATGCTACAGGTGCTGTGAAGAGAATATCATTAGGTGGCATGAAATGATCGACAGCAAAGCAAGGATTTGATATATTTTTACATAATCATTTTTGTGCTAACATATTGTTTGCACATTCTTGCAAGACTTTTAGTGTAAAAATGAATTCTTCTGTAACCATACTTTGCTGAAAAATCTGCATTTTGATCTAACAAACTGGCAATCTAATGAAGTAATTGAATTATTGACTTTGTCATATAGAAGTTTTACAACACATGGCATAAAAGTGTCACAGATGTGACAACTTTACGAAACAACTTCAGTCATGTGCAAGCAACTTGGCTTCCCCAACAGGCTGCATAGGTGGCAGGGGTCTTGCATCAGTGCTTGCATTTAAATGTTTTTCACGCATAGTGCATAATGTGCATGTTCTATTAGCATAACTTACATGACAATCTCCTTCTCATATGTGTACTTGAAGGGCTTAGATCGGGGAATGGCACCTTCCGATCCCTGAAAGACAAGAGGTGCTCATCAACAATCAATCACTTTTGTCCACAAGTAGTTTGGCTCATAATTATGACAAAACTAAAGGCTTGCATACACATCTGATGATCAGCTGAAATTGACTTGTTGCTTTCTTTGAAAACAGCTTTACAATATGAATTGTTAACGTAAAAACACTGAAAAAGCAATCTAATGTTTGCTACAATTGGTGCAAAACAGTCCATTCATTTTGCAAATGAAACCTTACACTCTCCTTTTAGACACACTAAAAATTAATAAACTACAAAACAGAACTGGTAAATCATACCTACAGTGTACAGAAAGAACACTTAATGCAACCAGTGGCCTGGCACGTTAGAACAGCCATGAAACCAAGAGCCACTTGCCAATTTCACTTTGTAAGTTCCCACGGGAAATCCAGCAGACCTTCAACCTGTGTTATTATATTGAATAATTACATAGGCCACATGATATTACTTAAATAGCTCACTTATGGTTGCATGACTGTTTAGTATGAACAAATAAATATTTTATTCCAGTATGAAAGTACAGCCACTGAACCTCAAATGCCCTAAAACAGAACATAAAGCTCCAGAAACGTGTAAAAGAACATTGAATTCTGCATCATGTCGATGTACAGTCGTCAGCAAGCTTAAAACAAATGCTCTGAAGCATGACCTGTACTACACTCAAGCCTCATTATAACAAAGTTGCACCTTATACAAAATTAAGTTCGTTATATCTGAAAATCTGATATAAAGATTTATTCCTGATTTGATTGATATGTGGGGTTTAACGTCCCAAAACCACTATATGATTATGAGAGACGCCGTAGTGGAGGGCTCCGGAAATTTAGACCACCTGGGGTTCTTTAACGTGCACCCAAATCTGAGCACACGGGCCTACAACATTTCCGCCTCCATCGGAAATGCAGCCGCCGCAGCCGGGATTCGATAAAGATTTATTCCTAACACTGTAACTACGTATTGCAAGACTATTTCTCATTTACTTTGAGCAATGCTAGCCATGAGGCATTGCCCCGCCGCGGTGGTCTAGTGGCTAAGGTACTCGGCTGCTGACCCGCAGGTCGCGGGTTCAAATCCCGGCTGCGGCGGCTGCATTTCCGATGGAGGCGGAAATGTCGTAGGCCCGTGTGCTCAGATTTGGGTGCATGTTAAAGAACCCCAGGTGGTCAAAATTTCCGGAGCCCTCCAGTACGGAGTCTCTCATAATCATATGGTGGTTTTGGGACGTTAAACCCCACAAATCAATCAATCAAATCAATCAATCAGCCATGAGGCATTGGGAGCTATTGCCGAAGTAATACCTCGGTACTGGCAACAGAACCCAAAGCTACGCAGTGCTAGCGTCATTCAAACTGTTTTGCGACACGCTGTGGAGCTCTGGTGTTATGCTCGCTGACTGACAACTGTACTGATGTTGTCTTAGCATGTCAAATTTGAAAAAGACAACTGCAGTTTTTCCGTTCCTTCAGCTTGTTCGTGTTCACAATATGTCCTCGCATTGGCGCTGCGACCCAAAGGGCAGCTGAAAAGACCATTGCATTGGTGATTTGACACTGTTATTTACTGCTCCTTTAAAATCAACATGGCCTTAAAGTGGCACGATAGGACTGACTCAGTGAAATGTACTTGAAACCTCGAATATGTTGCCGCTAGTCAAATGTGAAAACTCACGGTAGTTATGGCTGTGCACCGCTGGAGCCTGGCAATGTCACCCCGCAGCACTGCAGCAGAGAATTAACACATGACGAAAAGTATTTTGCGCCCATACAGAAACAGTAAGCATATGCCCGAAAGATTGCTACCAAAGTGCACTGAAAAGAGAGAATGCAGCAGCTATGACTTCAGAATGTTCACTCACGTTGCAGAAGTTTACTGTTTAACAAGCATGAGGACGAGGAGCTACTGAAACATTTGATTTAAAAACAGCATATTAACATATTAAGGTATTGAAGGGAGGTTATGAGGTCATACAGCCAGGCTGCCCCCCATTTATGAAATTATTAGTGAACACAATGCTGACCACAAACACACAATGCGTGTGTTTGTAAAAACATTGAGACAAACATTGAGGCTAAGCATTAGAGTTTTACATTAATTTGAAGTTTGCCAACAAAGCACTCCGTCGTGCACCTCAATTTTCATCTGCACAAGCAGTCCTCATATATTCCATTATCCTTCGTTTGCAGTTCTATAACATAAGCAATCATGCTCTAGAAGATAAGCCACATTCAGAAAAATGTATGATATACCACGAAGATATCCAATTAACAATTGTTTGGGTTTTGTGTGCGACAACCACAATATAATTATGCAGTACACCCCGATAGAAATTCAAGGGCACAGCTGTCATTGCAATATGCCTCCCTTTGAAATACGGCTACCCTGGACAAGAACTGAATTTGCATTCCAAAGCTTAGCAGCGCAGCAAGGTGTCCAGTTGATGTTGGCAGTATCTTGAACGAGACATTGTAACTATCAGGGTTCTAGCCAGGGAAGGGTGCCCGAGGCCACCCTCCTCCAACTCCCTACCTTGAAAATCCTGATAAAGCAAAGTGTTTTACCGAAAATAGGCAGTGAAAAGAGGCGCCTTTCTAAAAGAACCAAGGTCTTCAGCAAGTGCCCTCCACCTTCCAAAAAGGTTCTTGGCTACAGGTTCAGGAACCACATGCAGATGTGAACTGAAATTTCTATGGTTTGAAGTACGCGATACGTCAAAAACCTCATCAAATTGGATGTCATCATACAAAAAAAAAGAGAGAAAGAGAGAGAGAAGAGAAGGCTGAATAAAATAATATGAGATTGAGAAGAGTATTACAAAAACAAAAAGGTACAGACTAAATAAATATATTCCTTTATTTTCTGAACAACTCAGAAAGTACAGTTCTTAGACTAAGGAAAAGCAGTATGGTAGGTTCAATTCTTGTCATATTGTGACAGCTTGAAACTAGCAGCAACCGGTGGCTTGTTCAATCTCGCAGTGTCTTCATCTGAAACATGCTTTATTTCAGTACTGTACTCAAACCTCAATTCCTTTTTGACCACTGCGATGGCCATTTATAAATGGTGACGAACACAGGGTGTTTAATGTTCACAAGCGGGCTGCAGTAAAACCAATCCTTATAGTATTTGACAGCTTCCTCTACATGAGTTATACCGCATACACAGGGCACAAAACTACTACCCTCCGCATCTACTGTGCACGAAAGTGAAGTCCCTCGCTATCTTTGCAATCTCGGAGAGCAACCATGCATTTACTATGGCTGCCGCAGATACCGTATTTACTTGCGTAATGAACCCGGTTTTTTTTTTTTTCCAGAAAAGTTGACACCAATTCGGGGGGAGGGTTCATTATGCGGAAGAAAAAAAGTCACAGGAATTATAACAGTGAAAACTTTGCGTGACAGCTTTGCTTGTTTTGGCCCAACTAATGCGCGACAAAGCATTTTTTTTTTTTTTTGTAGCCTGAAGCTCGTTTTGCTTCCTTCCGTAACGAAAGCGCACGAATCGACCCGAAGTGTCATTCAGTCGTTCGGTTCCCATGCTACAGCGCATGCTGTTTGTAACCCGACGTGTAGCTAGCGTACCGGCTGAGCACACTCTGCGCAGCAGGTGTCCCAAAACAGTTTGCAACGACGAACCAGAGAACAAAAACGCAGCATCGGAGGGCAGCACACAAACGTTGCGGTAGAGGTTGCGGGTGCACGACGCGCTGTCAACGCGTTGAGTGCGGTTGCGCTTTGCATGGCCTCCGACATGGTGGGTGCGCGGCACTGTTTCTATGCCGCGTGCCCGCCATTGCGGAGGCCACGCGCTATGTTTTTGTGCCGCCGTGCTTGTATGGCACTATCAGCAAAGAGGTTTCTCCTGCATTCGACAGATGGTGCTTCACCGCAAAGGGCACGACTTGCAAATTTTGACTGACGCTGTCCAAGCTTGTGCTGCTCGCAAATGTTTAACATGGTTGCTAAACTACGTTATGACCTTTAATGCCTTGCCATTTTATGATATAATAATGGCTTGATTTAACATTGTTTCGATCGTTAACAGCACTGAATATCACGGAGAAGTAAAATGAACAGATACATTAAAGAAAGCTTTTTTTTTTTTTCGAAGACCAAGGTGGGGAGGTTCGTTATGCGAGTGGGTTCAATATGCGAGTGAATATTGTACTGTATTATGGGAACCAAAAAGAAATATAAAGGCCTGCAGGGCTTCATGCGATATGCATTGTATTAATGAGAGAAGGTATTCATAGCTTTGCCACTACTTACCATTCATAAGGACTGTTTCTGCAATGTCATCTGCATTGTGCCCTGCCAGGAACAGATATCACTAGTCACTCTCACTGCACTCACAAGTTGTACACTTTTGTTCAAGTTCACACAAAAGTGAGCAAGAAGGATGAAGGATGAAAAGACCATTGAATAGAGCTAGTCAGTGATGCTGCATCTAAGATGTGATATCATAAAGACACGAAGACGAACATAAGAATAATCAAGGTTGGGGTTCGTGCCTTATTCCCTTGCTCATCTTTCGTTTCATCAGCCAAGCACATCTAACATGCAGTACCAGATCAGTCAGTTCCGTAGGCAAGTTTGGACAGAAACGAACTGTATCGCTGTGGCTTTATGATGAGCAGTTATCTTCGTGGCACCACTTCGATTTCTTTGATTTCTTTGCCCAATTAGGTCCCACAGCTGTCTCTAACGCTCAACAAATATAAATTTCATGGGGTAGTAATAGTTAGCCGTATATCCCATGATGACACTTACTAGATAGGTTACTCTGTTGCAGCATACAACAAAAGGCTGAGAAGAGCAAAATAGGATTACATTACAAACCATCAGTTGCCTTACCAAGGCACAATCTAAAGCTTACAAATTCACGCTACAGTTTAAGATTGACAATGCTGCTACCAACCACACCAAGGGGACCGGAACAGTCATTGTCTGATTTTTCAGACTCTGAACAGAAAGCTGACCTAGTTGTTATGGATTGATTATATGTGGGCTTTAACGTCCCAAAACCTTCATAAGATTATGCGAGAAGCAGTAGTGGAGGGCTCCGGAAATTTCGGCCACCTGGGGTTCTTTAACGTACACCCAAATCTGAGCCAACGGGCCGACAGCATTTTCGGTTCCATCGAAAATGCAACCGCCGCAGCCAGCATTCGATCCCGCGACCTGCGGATCGGCAGCCGAGTACCTCAGCCACTAGACCTACCGCAGCGGGGCTAGTTGTTAAGGATTAAATCATGAAAAAATTATAAAGTGTGCAAGCAAGTAAGGCAAAATTCTGGACTGTGTAGTAGCATAAAAAAAAAACTAATTCATGCCTTTTCTTACCTCTCCCAAGTAGTGCAAGCGCTGTAGCCGTTTCCTGAATAGCTGCTGAAGACCTACCTATACTCATATTGGCCAAACATTTCAGTGTTTGTAGAGTAAACTCTTGTCAATAAATATGCTCTGAGTGGAGACCTTGATCAATTGTACATGTACTAATTAAGGGCAAGTTCACGTCTCCTGACGAGTGCAGCTACTACAAACAGAGGGTGCAAGAGAAACACTTGATTTATAAGACAACTGACAAATCAACATAAGCGAACGGGTGATAGGGGCATCAGCCATCAAAACTTAAGGATTTCTGCTATATTGCTCATAAAATGAGCTTACAGGGTAACCAGACAATTAAAAGAACACTAAACATCACTCAGTAAAGTTATGCTTCATGTGTGCCACGTAACTGATTACATATTATAGTGGGAAGACGATGAAGTAAGCTACATAAGTGTTGTTCACTTAGTTGTTTCCCTGCTGGCATTAAAAAGACTCGAAGTCCCCCTGTAGTTGTGTATGTTTGATATTACAAGCCCCATCTGCTTTCCTAGTTGTCACCCAGATTGAGTCCCCAATGAAATGCATCAATATGACAGTATATTTGAAACCTCACCTGTGACCATCTTGTTGACACCAAGCTTTGCGGCACCACGATCCAGTGCCTGTCGACGGAACACTCCACAGAAAGTGCCTACATGAGATTGTAGGAAATGTCTACATAATACTCGAAACACAAGGCTACTGCACTGTTCTCTGCTCTCTTTAGCTTTTTGAGGGTTTATGGCGTAAATATATAGTAGCGAAAATGAATCCCAAATAGTCGATGCCATACATTTACCGTACTGCCTGTATGTTAAAAAAAAAAACATGCCAATTTTCTGGCTGTTCTTGCCCAAAAATAGCTGTCGCCCTCTGGGGATGCAGAAAATATTCTTGCGTTGTTGAAGGTGGGTTTTTATTCTAATGTTTGTTTACGCGTGGTATAGGACAGCACCCTAAGCGTCGTTTGCACACCTGCATGTGCTTGGTGGTATGTGTGGCTCTGTCTTGGGAGACGTTTCCATTTGATACACTCGTAAAACTGATGTCTACCTCGTTTCTAATACATGAAAAGGTGACCCTTTGATCGTACTTCATTTATTACCAACAGTAGCACGATTTGAGCTGTTCAGAGAAAGATGCTCGTACATACAAACAATGTCACCACAAACAGTGTAACCGTATCTGTGCCTGTACATTTATTGTCTTGAGAATCGTGGACATTAACAGCTACCCAGTGGCGATACCATGTATGGGCATCGCGAGCGATTTCTCGCTCATTTGAGCTCAGTGGTGTGGTGCAGAACCACGTTTTCGTGTGTAACATAGGCATGCATGCCAGTTTCTAAACCATGGGCGAATGAAGTAGTGTTTACTTTCGATTCGGGCTACTGCCCAAATGCCAAACTGGAATTAGATGCATTGGATGTCATCTGCCAAAGCAAAGGTTTTACAAACTACAGTATACTCCCAGTAAACAGTGAATCTGTTAAATGGAACTGCTGCTTAAACGAACCAACTGCCTCCAGCACAATTGGTTTCATACTTGAATTCTCCACCCTTGTTCATTTCAGGATAAACGGGACTCCTGTGTAACCAAAACATTTTTCCTGGTCCCTTCAGGTCCCGTTTAGCGATAGTCCTACTGTAGTTAGAAATTGGAATCCATCTGAGGAGTAGGCACCATTTCCTAAAAGGGGTGCAGCACAATGATTATAAGTGATACAAAGGGCATAATAATCTGTGAAGCACATTTTTTTAAGGCTGCGAGATATGTTCAGTATTGATGAGCATATACTATCATTATTAATACAAGGTTCTTAATGTTACTTTTAAATAATAATATCTGTGATTTAACATCCCAAACCACTATATAATTATGAGAGACAATGAATGTTATTTTTTATTACACATGAATAAACAATGCATCTATACATAAGTACAATATATTTTTCTCACTTCACGATCACTCTGAAAAATGTTGGGTAATTTTTGTTGGACACTGAACCTTTTAAAAGTGCAATGAAACAAGATCAACCCTGGAGTCTTGCATTTGGTAAAAATCTTCCAAACTCAAAAAGGTAAAACAATGCCTTACGGGGATGTGCACCTTTACAAAAGCTTCCCCATGGCACTTTTCTTAGTTTTTTTTTTTATTATGATGCACGGTTTTACCATAAAACTGACAAACAGTACAGTTGGCTGCTCTGAACATGGTGTCATACCAACTTGTCACTACATGACAGGCATCATCTTCTTTTTGAGCACTATGTCTCATATTTCATTGCAAACTTTTTCTACAACTCGGCTGCTAGAATAAAAATGTGAATTTCTATTCAGAACGCCACTTACTTCACAAATTACCTGGTAAATATTTTAAAATAAAAACCTGTTACACCCTGCTCACTCCCCACATGCTTCATCTCGTATGACAAACTATGAAGAAATGAGATACCAGTAGTTTGATAAAGACTCACAGTTGTTTCTGCGCCCAATCTGTGCCACAATCTCGTCCATACTCCAGCCATAGAGGTCCTGCAAAGCATTGGAAGGATACAGAGCATGAGCAAACAGCGATCAATGCGAATAGGGCATTTCGTGCCTCATCAGCAGTTGCAGTTTGCTACACAAGTTACGTAGACTTGTTTCAGAAAATTAGAAAGGACCCATTTGATGCAATGACGTGGCATTAATTTAGCAAATAACTGGTCATGTTTCTCCTGAACTACACTCTACCCTAGGCAATCGGGGTGCAGATCAATATTTTAGGGGGACAGCTGTCTACTCCGCAAACCCTAGCGCTTTATTAGAGCTTGAAGTGGAATATGAAATACTTGTGGACTCTATCGAGATCCAACTGACCTTGTAGGACAACACCTCCAATGGAATGCCATACTCCTCTCGGTTAGACTCGACAGTCTGCAAATACAAGACGTGCAGTTTTTGAGGGTCAAAAAATAGTCCAAGTCGTCTCTCGGTGAACAGCACCGCCACTGCGAAAATAAACAAAAAGTTCCGATTCGTTTACTGCCATGCATCGATACCCTTGAAATCAGATATAGAGAAAGGCACCTGAAAAAAAAATTTTTTTGGGAAGTCTTATGAAGCAGCACAAGCAGGCGGCAATGCTTCGCGATGCTTCTTGTTCTCTGTTACTCACTACTGATAACTATCACTCCAACTAAAAAAATGGTTTCACTGCTCAGAGCTTTGATTGATTGATTGATATGTGGGGTTTAACGTCCCAAAACCACAATATGATTTTCAGAGACGCCGTAGTGGAAGGCTCCGGAAATTTCGACCACCTGGGGTTCTCCAACGTGCACGCAAATCTGAGCACACGGGCTTACAACATTTTCGCCTCCATTGGAAATGCAGCCACTGTAGCCAGGATTCGATCCCGGGACCTGCGGGTCAGCAGCGGAGTACCTTAGCCACTAGACCACCGCGGCGGGGGCAGCTCAGAGCTCAAAGAGGTACAAAATTATGTAGTAGCTTAGCTGTGCACCAATTTATTGAAAGCCACGGCGATAATAATTCGTAGGAAGACCAGTACAATGCTCACATATATTTCACACCAAGAGGCAGAGTGACCAGAATATCTAACCTTTTCGCTAAACTTTTCTGCTGCAAACTCTTTTTCGGGTGGCCGTACAGAGGGCAGACCCATGACGGAAGCTGTCGTCAATCATGCCACTGTCACTACATGTACGTAAATTTTGCACGCTATATCCAATTATGCTTGTTATATAGCTTTTCAAGAGAAATTATGTAATACTGCACTTTATTATGGGTTGTGTGAAATATGTCCTCTATCACAGATGACATACTTGCTCCAAACAAGTAATTACATTGCATACTAAAAGCCCAGCTATGGTGCCGTAACAAATCGATGAGCACAGCCCTTGAAGATGCGCCAGTCACATGTATATATTTGTATGCGCCTCTTTTCTAATAATTGATGCCCACTCAATTGTGGGCTTGTCAGCGATCGGCCTTTTCTGATACGGCGGTCTGATCTTTTATTGAGGTCACTCATAATTGCACATTGCCACATTTAATTTCAGCCTAGATATAAACGAATGATTTCACGTTTCCGTGCAATAACTTAAGTCGTCAGGTGCAATGTCAACTAAGTAAGTTTGTCACGACCAATTAATAAAAGCCGTTTAAGTTTCACAGGAGGATAAAAGGGCTCAGGATAAAAAGAATCAAAAGTTTTAGGTCAAGCACACACACTCCAAGCTTTTTTTGCCACACTTTCTTCAAGAAAAAAAGGGCTACTACATTTTTTCTGCGCTTTTCGTGGTCAATTTTATGTGCTATAGGGAAGGTAAACATGCTATATTTAAGGGAAAAGTAATTAGAAAAGTAATGAATATTTTTTAATGATTCACTCAGAGAAATTCATTATACTGCTAAATTACTTGTCTACTTCAGTAACCTAACTACTTGCAGGTCCGTTCTTCATATAGAGAAAATGACAATGTAAAGCCCCCCCTCTACCAACTCATTACCAATTGTTGGGCCTATTCAGCTTCTTTCAATAAAATAATGACTGAGAAAACGCAAAAAATCTGCTTCAAGTTTGGAGCAACAGAAAGCCAGTGCCCACACACTGCTTTTTCTAACCTGTCACAGTAGTGAGGGTGATTAAGTTATACAAGAAGGTACAGAAAAAAAATTGACTGCACACCTTTAGTGAATCATCTCTGTATCCTGTGATGCCTTCATCAATTGACAGTAGCACCAGCCGGAGCCCATACTTGTGCCGTTCATTGAGCAGCTTTATCACATACGCCAGCACAGTTGAGTCTGCAGGAGCATCGATGCAGTTAATGCTTCTTGCACATTCAAGAAAACTAAATGAAAGAATAAAAGAGGTACAGGCCAGAAACATTTGAGCCTCCTGTTTTTCTTTAGTCCTTTCTGCAACGTGCTGTATTAACAAAACAGTGTCCAACTTCTGAGCTTTCCAACTTCCTGCCTTGCCATAATGTATATACTTGGATAATGTTTTTGCAGAACAGCGTTGACGATCAGCAACATTACCACTTCCAGTATGTTTAGTCTCAGCGACGGGTCTTATTACTCCATCACATATATCATTCATCACTTACTGAAAGACACACAGTTTCGTGATTAAATACAAAATCACAATAGAAATGAAAAAGCAAGACAGAATCTTTTTGAACTTCCTTATTTAAATGCAACTGATTTGTCATTTACAGGGCTTCAGTCTTATGGTGGGTGAATACTAACACATTTTTCTGCTGCTTGCTTGCTGACCACGAGTAAAATTTATGGGCTTACTGTGAGAAAAAAAAAAAAAAACAGCATTCAGTTCCCTCACTTTAAGCAAAGTGAAATGTTGTATGCACTTGCCCTCCCACTGTGCTTTTTGCGGCTGCATTCAGAACTTTTGAGACACTCGTGTCTACAAGTTAATAGGTGGAATGTGCTGGCTCAAGATTTGCTGGAGAAGGAATTTACATTGTGTACCCACACGACGAACGGTTCCGCGGAAATCTCTTCTATGGACGATTATTCCGCCACCCTTAGGGCTGCGAAGCACATCCAGGAGTTAGACGAAGCGAGTAGACAGACGGGCCGGAGAAAAAAAGCATGGTAGCACTGTCTGCAGAGAGAGCTGCTTGCTCTGAATCTTCAAGGTCTTTGTTGCACATAGCGTGGACTGTTAGTAACAAACTAACGCTTGTACTTGCTTTAGGTATGTGTCCATAGGCTTTGCCAGAAATGTATTAATGACAATTCAGCAATATTACTAAGAGCCCTAATCTTTTTCTAAGAGCTGTAGGTTCTATTGGCAGAACACGAGCTTGATGATCTGCGGTGGCTTGAGTGCTACCAAATCTAAAAGGCCGTGCAAAAAAACGAGCGAGAAAAAGAAGTTGTGCTTGCCGCCAGACCTATAATGGCATTCTCGGTTAAATCTACTGTGAATCCGAATGCGAAAAAGAGCTTGAATTTTTCCATCTCATGGTCTGTGGATGCGGCACGGATGGCCCAAATCCATGACGCAAGGTCATGAGATGCACCGTCCGCCACGGAAAAGACAGATTTGGTCTATCATGTGGATACAAGTTAAGGGTCATGTCTGCATCAGTGTTACCAAACTCTCACTGCGTAAAAACAAATAGCAATATTTACATGCTCTACATTCATTCCACTCTTCCACCCATATTAGCCCGTCCTACACATGTGTCCTGCATTATTTTTTACACATGCTAATAATAATAATAATTGTTGGGGTTCAACATCCCAATACCACCATACGATTTATGAGAGATGCCGTAGTAAAGGGCTCTAGAAATTTTGACCACCTGCGGTTTTTGAACGTGCCCCTAAATCTAAGCATCAAGCATTTTTGCCTCTATCGAAAATGCCCCCGCCACCGCTGAGATTCGATCCCACGACCTGCGGGTCAGCAACTGAGTGCCTTAGCCATTAGACCACCGTGGCGGGTTTTTTACACATGTAGCATGCTTGATAGATTTAGGCATGCCAATTCTGTATGCTGAGTGTTTCTGCAGAATAAACTCGGAATACTTTCTGTCCCTTCTTCCTTACCACTGTGCTTCTTTTTTTACCTGGTCCACAATCCATAATATAGTTTACATTACTAACCACTTTACAGTATTTAGTTTACCAACCACACTTTTTTTTAGAACAGCAGTACCTAAATGCTTTGAAAGCTGGTAAACCTTGAAAAGTGTGAATTTGATACTTTTCAAAGCTAGCTCAAGCTCACAGGAGGCACCACATCTGAGATTAGTCTACTGACCAAACGATACCACACTCCCGCCCTCTTCACAGGTAATGTCAAACAATGTCTGAATATGGCACTGTTGTGTTGAACATCAATGCTTACTTATGCACCTTAATACACATGTTGCAAGTTTATGCAAATTAGGTATTGTGTATGGGCTAAATCAGCAGATGTCTTATTGGCAAAGTTGGCTTTTGGTTTTGTTGCACAATGCTGACTAGACTAATCATTTTTCAAGCCAACTTGATATCCACTTGTATAAAATAAATGTCTGGTATGAGCCCACTCTTATGTGGGTAAATATTTTCAACATGAAGTAAATTAGTTTCTAAAGCTGGAAACACGCTGCTTGTATGCTTGCTAAATGTATGTATGACAAGGCACTATTAACAAAATGACTAATTAATTGGTCAATAATGCCAAACAAACTTCCATAGAAGCAGCAAAGGCAAGGGCTGGAAACACCAGTGGCATGATAAAAACAAATAGTAATTTTGTATTTTGGCGAGGGCTGCTTCCTTACTGTTAATATTCAAAAGAACAGGTCAAATTTTAGGGACAATGCTGCACTGTCAACAGCCTAAATGATTACCAGATTTTAATATTCCTAGAAGCAACAAAGAAAAAAAGGTCAACCACCTGCATTGTGGAACTAAACAGTAATTTAGTACTTGAGTGAGGACTAGTTAATTCATGTTAAATACTGACTGAAACTCAAACAACGTGAAATAAAACATGTCCGAGAAGACGAGCGTCACACTATATACTTAATCTGTCAAGCATATTTTCGTGTCATCACAGAAGTTGCATTGTCTTCGCCTACATAGCAACCCATAGCTTTCGCGAGGAAACAAAACAGTTGCCGCTTGAAGCAAATCGAATGATGATGATCCACTAAAATCTAGACATTTCAGCGTATACTTGTAATCTTACAAAAACGTCAGTTATGCCGACTATATACAACTTAAACTAAACAACAGACAAGGAAGGAAAACATGCATCAGTGATTTTGACAAAGAAAGAAATGTCATATCTCCGGCAGCTAATGTCCGGTCATTGAAAAGACACGAGGCTATGTTTACGTTGGTGTCCGCACACAATGGCTAGAAGTTTAGCTGCAGGCACAAAAACAAAATTCAGCCCAGCCATGTTCTTGTCTGTTCTCCATGTGTCCCTCGTTTCTTCAGTTCTACTGCTCGAACAAGTGTTATCCATGAATGGCATGGGTCGGTCGAATACCGTTTAGGTGTTAGGTTACCTTTGCCTCCTGATGCAGCTATGGCCACATAATCGCCCTGTTGAAACAGGTGTGCCCGCACGATCGTCTCATGCACCTCCGTCTCGAAGGCAACATAGAAGCATTCTTTACACAATGCGTCCCCCTGTGGAGAAGAATAGCAGAATAGCCACTCGACACCGCCCAAAGCAGAACTTGTCAAGCCCAATAGCGTAGTAAGGCGGCACATATCACAACAGCGCCAATGGACAGCTGCAATGTGAACTCAGATCGATGCTACGTTTTTTTTTTTTATGCCTAGCGGGATCAATTCAATCTAACAAGCTTTTGCAACTTATAGTGAGGTTGAGTAACACGACATAATTTCACTGACTTCCAAAAAACAGTCAGTCCAAAGCAAGACGTTATGCCCACATAAACTAGCAATTTTCTACGCCAAAAATAAAACTTCGCAGAGGCACTGCCACACTCAGGAGTTCTTGATTATACAATGTGTTCAATAGCGCAAAAAGAAGAAAGGTTAATCACTTTCAAACGCAAGACAAGCGCGTGTCACTGTCAGCCTTCGCTCATTAGTTGACTACCGTTTTCAGCGCACTGCAGTGCGACATGTCTCGCCCTACGCCAGGAGAAACGATGAACAGTAGAAAGCTGCATGCATCGTAGCCACTGAATTCTGCAGGTGGAACTGTAGCCAGCATGCGATACTTAATGTAGCAGATATAACTGGAGGATGTGAGCCTGCACGTTTATTGTACGTACGTACAGTACTACATGTGACGTGCGGCGATTCCCTAGAAAATTCAATCATCAGACAGAAAGTCGCTCGTTTAAATAGGGAACGTTTGAAGATGTTTGTTTCTCAGCAAGCTTACTGTCTTAGGACGCTTGAGAACAGCTCGCGCCGAATCGCACTTGCTACACAGTCGCATCACCGCGTGTTCGAAGGTTCAGCCTTGTTCAGCCACAGAACACCTGTTCAGCGTGAGCAGCGTCAGGCTCGGCGTTCCAGCGCACATGGTCCTTGAGCGTAGACTCTTAGGGTAAAAGCTGGGTTTGTAGAGCTATGACCACCATTCCTCCACGATGACCACCGAAGCTATGCATACCGAAGCGGCGCTGACATAGGGTGGCTAGAATGGGGAGGTGTGATGACTGCGGCGGCGGCCTCTTGCCTAGCGAGGCCCCTCTGCGCGTTCTCGCCGCTGGGGGTAAATTTGGCGCGTCAGTATGGGGCGCTGTTGGCATGCGCCGACTGTGAGCATGTGTTGCTCGTGTCTCGTAGGTGACGCAGCAGCGCAAGTTAGCTGTCGCTGTTCGCGAAGTACGGCCTGCTTTTTCTATCGCTTCCCGATTTCTTGAAGGAGATGATGTCAGCGGTTGTTGTCAGTTTTTGAACCGCTCTGAAGAATGCCGTCGATGGAAAAAAAAAAAACGCAGAGGTGGTGCTTTGTGTCAGGTTGCGACGCCGGCTACAAGTCCTGCGGTGAAAGACTATCTCTCTTTTGTATACCTGCCCATGTAAATGAATTTGAAAAGTGAGCACGTGCCATACCAAGGGGCGACAAGCCACTGCAAGAGAATTCTGCAGTTTGCGAAAGGCATTTTGACCCATGGTACGTATGGAATTCGTCCATGTTTAAGCATATAGAAAAGTTGTGGTTTCTACAAGTCAACACACTGACCCGGTGTGACACACGGGTCATGAGCAGCAGAAGTGCAGTGGAAAGAGCCAGACTAATTCAGATGATCGGTTGTTCTTGTACTTACATTGGCATGTTGCTCCACGTGGGCGCGTTTGGCGTTCTGCCTCCTTCAACCCGCGGCTAGATGTGTGTCACCTAACGCTGCATCACATATGCTATAATAATTGTTTCGTTGCTCGGAAATCCGAAGTGTCTTCATTACAGAGGCTACGCTCACTTTTTATTATGTTTTCGGGTTTATTATGAGACACTACGTGCACATTGTGAATGAAAAGGAGGTCCATATGCCGCGCGATGTGCCTGCCCTTAAGGAGAGTGCTATTCCAACAATTTTCCCGAACCTTCCAAACTACATGACGAAAACTCTGCCAAAAGAGAGGAAGAGGAGAATGGGACAGCACTCTTCTGTGTCTGCAAAGAAGAGCCGCGAGGACATTGACGATTCAGAACGCGAATCGGTTCAGCTCATTCTTCATGACAAACTGGACATAGTCAACGATGAAGTACCTCGGAAACACTTCATTTTTGGTCTTCGACTACCATCAGAGTATCGGTCACGTCAGACATTCCAAAACAAAAATATAGCGAGTTACCAAACAGCTGAACATCATAAAAGCAAAGTACCTCCTGTTGCCTTCAACAAGATAGCTGTGTTCGAAATCGGAGAGCGGAATTCACCCTCCTGCACCATTTTCCTGGCTGGCCACCTTCACTGTCAGCGCACCGTTGAGTCTGAGGAAAAGACCCAAGAGCTTCTGGTGTATCAGAAAAACTCTCTGTGTGTTGTGGAGCTGGAAATACCAGCGAGTTTAAGCGATTAGGTGTGTCTGGCTGCACAGCATTGTCATCAAATAGCCTGTTTTCCACTGTGTGTGACGGATCTGTGTCACAAGGTATGTTCTGTTTTGGTACATACGTCTTGGGCATCACAACTGTGAAACGTTATTTCATATACTTCACATGTCGCCTATTTTGTTGTTTCTTCCAGGTATGCCGGCCCATATGCCTCAGCGGTGTCTGAAGTGCAGAAAAGTGAGGCGACCAGTGGGAGGCCCATGCAGGAGGGCTCGGCTTCTCAAGCAAGAGCACGGCAGAAGGTCTACGTGTGACGATCCACTCTGCGAAGGACCTACTGAAGTACCTCACTGAAATGGTATGGTTTAGGTTTTTGATGACCTCCCATCTCAGTCAAGACTGTTTGGAGCGTTCCTTTGGTATCGTCAGACAGGCCAGTGGAGCTAACGATCACCCAACTCCTGCGCAGTTCATTATCTTAATCAAGTATGCTTGTGCATTTTCAGTCCTGTACATTGAAATACAAAGCATATATTTCAAAGTATCAATTTTTATAATTTACATGTATCTATGCAGGTGCATAAGCTTTTATAGCTTGGCGAAAAGCCCCAAGGGAGCAAACGTATCTCCTAAACTTTTGGAGGCCCTGCTGTTCGAGGACCATCTGCTGCCTGGAAATGAAGCACCAGCTTGTGACGACGTTACACTACCTGTCGAAGCAGCACAGGTTGCGGTTGACCACGCTGATTACGTTGAGGAACGCAGTGATGACCACCTCACCTATTATATTGCAGGATATGTAGCCAGGAAGCGGATCTTCTCAACCCAATGAGAAGCTTTCAAGGATGCCTGCCTCATGATAGTGTGACGGGCCAATTGCCAGCAGAAGCGTGTAAAAAGTGGGACATGGGGAGCCTTCTTTACCCCTCTGTCCGTCTAAATAATCTAATCAAAACCCTTGAGGATAGACTAACTCGTGCATGTAGCACCACGCGCTTGCACACCAAAGTAGTGAAGGATTTTTTGAGCCTAGCAGCCAATGTGCCACAAATTGGCTGCAGTGAGCATTCAGCTTCTTTAACAACATCGGTTGTCAGGTTCTACAGCATTACGCTTGTCCATTTTCTGCTGAAAGGGCTAAACCAGCATGCTGTGCAGACTAAAGTCAAGAAGGTGTAATGTTTTTATGTACAGTTTCCAATAAACTTGTATCAAGCCACCAGTCTTGTAGTCTTGTACTTCATTGCATTCTTCTGCCGCACTGCATAAAAACTGCATTGACTTCCACTCTTTAAAGTACTGTTGCAATCGTAAATGTATAACAAATCTGCGAGCGACACACGCATGGTTGTTGCCCCCTGCTGGTCTGCGGGAGAGATTCCTCTAAACTATTTTTCACGTGACAAGCGCGCCCACCTGGCAAGAAGTGGCCGCGAACCCACGCTCTGTATCGGCTGCGTGGTTTGCGCTTGTAGATTACACGTGCAAGTTTCTCGACGTCAACAACATAATTGAAAAGACTACAGCGGTAAAACTGAGCGCGGTCGAATCATTTACCCGCCCAGAGGCAAGTAACGACGCGAAAAAAGCACAGCGCCCCCACCGGCAGCGCCACCGCGTGGCAGGAACGCGCTTTTGGGCCAGCCTCCGGAAGCCGGTCATCACACCTCCCCATTCTAGCCACCCTAGCTGACATTATGTATGGAGACTGACATCTTGGAACGTTATCATTGTTGCCATTGCAAATTCTTAAAGAAACGCTAAATACAAAAATTTAGGACACTCATTATGTTGCAATAAAAATCGTAAACAAAAATAATATTCTAATATAAACAAACTTAATTTTTGTAATATATGTATGAATTACTTCTAGGTAAGATAAAATGGCAATTTATGCAATTTATGGCTTACAAAACGTAGCCTCCGCAATCGGCTGCCGCCGGCAGCCGATTGCGAAGGCTACGCACAAAAAGAAGTGAGTGCAGGTTTTTTTTACTAGATGACGCCACAATCCTTGTACCGTGCCAAGAGAACTTTGCGTGGTCGGCGTGGTAGGTGTTCTGTGGCGTGGTAGTGCGGCCGATCGCGCCTCGTCGTTGCCATGAGCTCGACTGTTTGTGGCCGTCTCCTGCTGAGATGCAACAGAAACAGACACAAATTCATCCAACAAAAAAAAAGAAAAAAAAAACATGCCGGGGGGTTATTGCAACATGCAATGGCGAGTGGAAGTGAACGTCCCTCAAATGTTGGTAGCGTTCCATCATGGCGGCATACGAGCGGGTATAGGTTGTGATGTATGGGCCCTTTAGGGCGCATTTCCTCTAGAACTCTATGATGATTTTACGCCTGTAAACAGGAACTTTTTTTTTTTTTTCAAACTGAACCAAATCCTAAATCAAAACTAGCTCAAATAAGACTTTATTGGCACATACATGTTCTAAACATTCCTAAGCACATAACTAATAAATTAATAACGAGAATAGGTAACTTATTATTACTGTTTTAAAGGAAAATGAAAAGTATGTATGTGCCAAGACAACCTTTATTAAACTAGTTTCGGTTTTGGATTTGGCTCAGGTAAAGAGAGGCTCTTACGTGTTTCATAACTATGCTTCAACAAGTTTCGATTGTTTTAATTAAAAATCTTTGTGAGAAACTTTACTGTTTCATCTTCCAGCCTTTCGAGCCTTTCACAGCTATTACCTTTGGCTTTGTTCTTTGTGGTCTTACGGCTCTGTTTAAACAGAAATTAGTTGGGAAGCACTACAAAACGCCTCGAGTAAAAGCTCGTGGCGCTATGGTCGAGATGTGTGATGCGTCCTAACAAACTCTATGCGTCCTGGGAATGTGGTACCGCGAATCGTTGGCTTTCGCCAGCATTTTAACTGTAAGCTGTTAGACCTCTCGAAAACAGCCAATTTTTGAAGCAACATTAATTGTCTGACGCCGCCAGTGCCCTTCCCAACTTTCACGCAGAGAACAAACAAAACAAAAAAGACGTCTATTAATTCGCCTAACGAAAATAAATGTCACGAAGCTGTACCAAACATCACACATGCTTATGGGACAGAAGGTTAAGTAGCGATTAATTATTCGTTTAAAAAAAAATCTAGGGACTTTAGTAGCAATAATATCGTTTTGTGGTCGGTTTCGCAGACCGTACTTGAAATTGGCTCCGCGACTATTTTCCGCAAGCCGAATTCGTTCCTTTGATCGAACAATGTATTCACACTGTTTTCCTCGTGTCTCCATTTTTTTCCGTGGCCTACCCATGACAGTCTTCGGATGAACTAATGAGCTGCTCGACGGGTCTCCCGTTTATGTATGAAAGAGGAGAACACAGAATAAGAATTAAGCGCCGGTTGTTGTTGAAGCAATTAAAGCAGCTGCAGCCCAATCTCTGCCGTGATTATAATGCGTGGGAGGGTGTTCCCATGATGTTCACAGGCGAATTATATCATTCAGTATGCCGTTTTGATGCATGTGCGTGCGTGCTTGTGTATGAGTGCCTGATTGCAAGGAAGATATGCCTTCAAGTGTTTTAAAGGCCACGTCCGGCATTTTTTTTTTTTTACCATGTCAAGGTAATGGTGGTTC